TGTTAATAAAGGAGTATTTAAAATTGGTTAGACAGGAACAGGCTAATTCAGCGATTGTTCCGAAGCAGGCAGTTCCCCTATTCTTTGAAAAGTTCAAGTCACTTGTCAGTCATTTTAGGAAGAAGATGGCTGCTAGCTTGCCGCTTTTCCTCGTTAGGCAAGTACATCCTAGTTAGAGACGCTAACATTTTTGTCGTGGTTGTCTTCACTAGGGATAGTCAAGTATATCATTCTGATTGCAGCGTAACTGCATAGCCAACAAACAAATATTACTGATCATTAATACTCCTTCTAAGCTGCGAAAGTTGATTTTAAATCTTGGGAACATAGAAGCTAAGGACTAAATCATAACTTTAAAAGCTTTGAAATTGAGAAAACTAGGTTAATTTTCATGATAATGATGGTGCTGATGATGATAATGATGACAATGATGATGATGCCGATTATGAGAATGAAAACAATCCCTGACGTTATAAAAGCAGGATAAAAGTAAAGGTGATAATGGCAATTTAAATAGAGGTGGTTAATGCACAAAGTAAAGGACATTGCAGTTTAGTGCATTAATAATAAAAACATCCTTCAATAAACTAGAAAACAAGAAACTTCACTTGTGTAGTGGTTTACCAATAATGTTACAAATACATAATCTTTCAATGGCATCTAAAAAAACTGGTATCCCTCCCTACCTGCCTTCAAAACTTTTTACCACCCGTCTTTTCCCTTCAAAAAATTTTAAGGCTCCCCCAAAAATCCTCTGTCCCCCCCCCCGTGGTATACATAATGAATACAGCCTAATGTCGCAATGAGGCACAACCTTCGAGGTGTTCAAAGAATTGGCAAGGTTTTAAAGCAGACCTCATACCTCCTGATAGCGGATTCAAAATTGCGAATGGTTAAAAAGAGAATCTGAAAAACAGTAATGAAGAAAGAAAAGGGCAGATGGAAACTGAATATGAGGTAATGAGGATGGAAAAAAACTTAATCGAAGACGAGAAATAAACAATTGCTAAACCTCCCGGCTCCCCTTTTTTTCGATTTTTTTCTCGACCATGGGTCTCAATGTTAGCTACACCACTCCAGATCTTCAAGTTTAAGGTAACCGGAACAATTTGTCTCAGTTATTTCCAATTCGTAATATACAAATACAGTAGAACCTATCCTTTGGGACACCTCTATTCAGGGGACACAAAATTTTGTCTCGGAAAAACGTCCACATAATCTTTGCATCTGTTACCTTTATTGAACTGACACCTCTATTCAGATAGCGTTTGTCTTGTTCTCCGAGCATTATTCGTCGTTGCATTGGTGCCATGTGTCTCACACTAAAAAAGGATCATTGAAAGTTTTCTTTTCTGTCCTATTGTCCTCTCTTGTTTACAATGCACTGATTTTATCACGGACTTACCATCCCATCCTCTGTATATCACGTTGCGAACTTTTCGTTATGTCTCAGGCTTTCAGTTACCAATCTGACAGCGTTTTTAATGTAATAGCCAAAGCGGTTTTTACAATTCACTCAGATATTAGAGGAGAAAATGAGGAGCAAGGGGGTCGAGCAAGGGTGGTGCAGTGCATGGTGCATATCCCGGCGTCGACGCCATTTGTGGGTTGAGTTTGTTGTTCGTTCTCTCCTTTGCTCCGAGACGTGTTTCTCCAGGTACTCCGGTTTTCCCCTCTCCTCAAAAACCAACATTTCCAAATTCCAATTCGACCAGGAATCAGGTAGACGAAGAACCAATATGTGGATGTGCTACCTCCAAATCGTTTTTTATTTATTTTATTTATTTATTTAAATCAAATATGAATTTTAAAAGATAGACCTCGACCCCTCGTTTTACTAGGGAGCGAAAGCAACGAAGACGGTTACGGCAACAAGACGGTAGTAAACCGATAGGTTTTAGGTTAGCAAAATAACAGCTTTGTACGTGCATCACGCTCAGTTTTTTGTTCATTTCTCTGCCGTCGTTGCATGATTAGAACGTGAAAATGCCTAATTTCACGTTTTGTCGAGGACGGAAACACAAAACAACAATTTGCTTTTTCATTTCCTGAACTTTGATACAATGCTTGAGAATTCAACTTCAAAGACATTTGCCAACATTTGACGAATTAAACGAGATGGAGTAAGCACGATACTGATTTAAGACAATGCGAATTCACTTTTTAGGTGACGTTTTCGTAGCCGTCGCCTTCGCCGTCGTCGTTGCTTAAGGTGATGTTACAAGGAACGATTCGCAACGACGATTTTTAGCGCAACAGAGCGTTACAATGCTGGAACAATGTTGTAACCATTCGAAACAATGTCATAACAATATTGCAAGGCTGTGTTGCGCTAAAAGTCGTCGTTGCGAATCGTCTCGTGAAACATTACCTTTAAGCTCTATCTGGCGACCTTACGAAACTGCCACGGCCACGAGAACGTCAGAAAAGCAATAGGTTTAATGAGCAAAAAAAAAACTCTGCACGTGCATCATGCTTTTTTGCACATTTCTTTCCCGTCCCTGCACAACTACGCCTTGAAATGACCAAATTTTAAGTTTACTTCAGAACGGGAACAGCAAGGCGATAAATTCTACCATCTCTCTCCGAACTCGGCCGCGGTTCCTTCTCTTCCGCTCCAACCAAAATTCCCTTCTTTTAAGTAACAAGGCGAATTGGGATAATCGCGAAAAAGTTTAAAAGAATACGAAGTCTATTTTCCAGCGATGTTTTCATTTACGTCGCCGTTGTCGGATCGTTAAGGTCCCTCTTGCAAACACCTGACGGCGACGGCTACGAAAACGTTACTTAAAATGTGAATTCGCGCTGTGCGTAAAAATTATCTTACACTGACCCGAAATTTGAAAGGAAACGCATTTAAGGGAGATATTTTATGATACTTCAATTTTTCAACAAAGTAGTATGATTTGTATTAGCCACCATGTTGGAGGGCATACTCTTGTAATCCAACATCGCGGCCAAAACTACTTTTTGCTTGTGTCTTGTTAAACGTTTGTTAGTTACGTTCAGATGTGCTGTAAACGTTACCACATCATCCTTTTCAACATTTTCCTTGAAGTGTAAGTGCAACATTTTGTTTTCAGAGAGAGGTAATTCATAACTTAAAAATCACGTTTTGGTCACGTGACCAGCTATGAACTTACTCATTTAAGGAAATGGTGCGGGTTTGAAAAACTAAATCACTGTTATTTTGTTTAAGATATGACCCACTAATTGGTTTTGAAGGCAAAATCATATAACTTTCATTTTCATTAAAATGATGTCACATGACTCTTAGTGCAAATGACCTATTCGTCAAGATTAATGTTGGTAATGTTTTCTGGAGTTGTATTCTGAAAAACTGTATCGAAGTTCAGCAAAAAGAGTAAAACAAGGTCGTCGACTTGTGTCCCCGTTCTCCACAAAACGTGAAATTGGGAAGTTTCAGCTCGGAGTCGTGCAGTGACAGCTAAGAAGTGTATAAAAAATGGTGATGCACGTGCAAAGTTTTTGCTTTGCCCGTCTTATTTCTGTTTTGCTGTTCTCGTTGATGTCGCCGTCCTCGTTGCTTAAGCTAAATAGGGATCTACGAGAACGGTTTAGATTGACAAGACAACAACTTTACACGTGCATCATGCTTTTTGCTGTCACAGCAAGACCACGTCGTGAAAGTGCCTAATTTCACGTTTTGTGGAGGACTTGCACACAAGACTGCAATTTTCTTTTTCTTTTCCTCAACTTTGATACAGTCTCTTAGAATTCAACTCCAAACAACATTTTTCAAAATTTGACAAACTGAAAGAGATGGAATAAGCCCTTTAAATTTGAAGCGGGGAGTTGAGCGAGAAGTCACTTTAAGGTGATGTTACACGAGACGATTCGCAACGACAATTTTTAGCGCACCACAGCATTACAACATTGTTGCGATATTGCCTCAGATGGTCGCAACATTGTTCCAGCATTGCGAAGCTGTGTTGTGCTAAAAATCGTCGTTGCGAATCGTCCCGTGTAACATCACCTTTAAGTACGAACGACGCTTAAGGTCCATATGTTCAACGGGGGCGGAGGGGAGCGGTGTGCTACATACAAAATGCATGTATCGCAAAGTTATGTGACATTGTAAGTACAGAAAAAAGCTTAAAAGTCGCAAAGTTTAACTACTCACTGTTCTGATGTAGAAAACGGCAAATTTACTTCAATAGGCAAAATGTGCTTACTTATGATTCTTGAATTGAGCCGGAAGTTATTAAATACAAGAGTTTTTTATAACGCCGGATTTTTTGTTAGTTTTAAAATTTGAAAAATCATTTTATTCCTGATGGAAAGGATTTTGTTGTTTTGAATTTTCAAGAAGACCACTATACCCCACGTACCTACTCTATGAAGCTGCATGATAAGGAGTTTTATGAGCATTATAAATATTGAACGTTTTCTCACTCTAACCAGTAAAGATAGACAAATAATGTACACTCTAATGTGAGGCGATTAACAGTAATGGTGCAAATTAATAGTTGTGTCGATATTAGCTCGTTATTCATTGGTCCCGAATTGATAACCGGCTGATCAGCATTACTTTTCACTTCTTTCCTTTCCTTTTTAATAGTAGCTAACAATTCACAAAATTCACAAAAACAAACATTTTCTTTACACTGATGCTGTTTTCGTTCAGACAGAAACAATGAAGAAAACGAATGAGGTAATCCGATTCGGATTTATTGCTTTGTTTGAAAACGCTATTTGCAGAAACAAATGGAGAAAGCGCTTGACCAACTGTTATAAGTGGGTAAATAATTAATCTTTTAACCTGTAGAGTGGCGCCATTGCGCTAGTAACTTCAATGAAGGCCGAACTGTACAATATCCTCCCAAGGGACTAACAAGTTAATTAACTGGATTAATAATAATGCACGATATAGTGCTTTTGCTGATATCGATGTGAAGAACAAATATAACTCGTAACATGGTAAACAAGCGAGTGGGAAGAGGACAAATTATGATTCTCCGCACTCTTTTGCATCCACGATGTTTGTAAGAAGCGCTCGAGAATCACCGTCTGTTGTGTCCACGCGAGTCTTGAGAACTCATCGCAAGAATTCAGTGGAAAATTTTCGGCTACAGGAACGAGTGAAAACAATTGACTTTGAAAGCAAGCATAACTATTCACAAATCTCGGACGAGATTGATGGGGTTCGCCAAAATTTAGTTAAGATAAAAGGTGTAAAAAAGAATGTTGGTGTTAGCGTAGAAAGGCGGAAACTATTGCGTGATAAGGGGCTTCGAATTTTGCCCGTTAAGCACAACGACAAAGACGATTACTTCAAAGTGCGGACCCCGCAAGGCAAGGACGTTATTATTTCTTGCTCAGATTTTTACGATGGAGAGACCATGAGGAAACGCCTTAGCATCGATGTACATGAATCAGCTAGAACTCCATGCCTTGATGTAGAAAATTCCGATGGTGAAGAGCTATTGGATTTCGGATTACCTGAAAGTCGAAATCGGCGTCATACCATATCTTTGGATAGACCATTTCGTTACAGGAACATAACACCGCCTTTACGACCAGGATCTAGAAGAAACTTCAAGGACGTCGAGGAAAAAAATTCGGAAGATGAAGAAAAACTTCTTGAAAAGCTCAGCAGCATGGAAAGAAAATATGGAATTTTAAGGCCCCAGACTGCTTATTTAAGGGAAAGAGATCGTCAAGCTTCACCGCGTCCGAGAAGTCGCACCTGCCCGGCTGAAGTACAATCCGGCGAAACCACCTCGGCCCCTTATAGGAAGATATCCAGAAAAAATTCAGGAATTGTTGGAAATACAACAAAAAAGTCTCGTGGAAATCCCTCTGTGGACAATGAAACAAGCACCACAACGAAAACGACCGAAGAGCAGATGCTGCAGGCAAAAGGCAACCAGCAGGAAGCTTGCATGAATACCAACGTAGTTTTGGAAGAGACTATCCCGTTGAGTCCGAGCGTTAGACCAGGTTTAAGGGCAAAGTCGATGACCGTGGGATCAGGACAACCCCACTCTGGTATTTCGCGTACCGTTGTTGGTATTAGAAGAATGAGCTTGGACAGAGATAAATCTATTCGTCTTCCATCTTCCCCGTCGGCTGGTAGATGGTTTCAGCCGGACACTCCTGAATTTACTCCAATAAATGAAGATAATGAGAAAGTGGAACGAAAGTTGTCTAAATTCACCGAAAGGAAAGTTTCGTGGAAGGACAATTTAAATGACGATCGCAAAAGTAGGATTGACGAAAGCAGTCTCTTCAATGGGTCTCCGACACCATCAACGGAATCTTTCGCTGTTAGAGATGGTAGAAAGGAAAGTGTAATGAGTACAAAAAGTCGAACAAATTGCGATGTACGCGCGCAAAGTGCGCCTCATTCGCGTTTATCTTCCAGAAAAGTATCCAGACGATCCAGTCATAATTTTGCATACGACGCACAACCCGACAAGGCTCTGACCAAAGGCTACGTCACCATGCAAATGACTATTGGCAATAAACAAGTCAAAGTGTATGTACCTAAGTTCTCTACTGATTGTTTGGATGATGTTGTCGAGAGAGCTCGAGCAAAATCAGCTGTAAAAGCTGTAGGTAATCAGGGCCGACCGTTGAAAAATAGGAGATAACTTATACGCCAGGTTCGGACGTGGATTTACCAGAGCGAGACACCACACTACAAAACTCTATGATTTCTTTAACATATAGCTCGAATGGATGACATTATTGAAAACCGTTACCAATAGAGTAATTGACTTAATGAAATATTAAAGCACCTTTATACGAGTTTAACATTGTGTATGTGTTTTTTAATGAAAACATTTCATTCAGTTGGATTAAAGTAAAATAAGACTTCACCGAGGTGAGTGGCCTAAATTTCAGCTTCCTCCTCCTCCGCTCGTTAAGTCAGCCTGCGTGACTAAGTAGAAAATTAGTAAAAGTGAATACAGGGGACACTGACGTGAGTTGAAATTACGGGAAGCCAGGCTACGAGGTGAGCTACTTTCTGCCTTTCACCGTTACTTTGAGACCTATACCATCTGCATTTTTCATAGTAGCACCACCTTAAACAACGATCAATAATTTTGCGACAATTAAAATCGCTCATCTTTCTCCTAAATCACTAATTATGTCGGACTATTTTTATCTCTCGGAAAGGATACGGCGAGAACTGATGAATTCAATTTCATATTATGACATTTAATCATAACTATAACAAAATTGTCAAATCTGATTGGCTATCAACTGCCCTGATTTCAGCCTTAATTGGACAGTTTAATATTACAGGACGCGTCATGCCTAAGTAATTAGACAGTACGCGCCATCACGCGCGCGCTTAAATGGCTTTTTTTTCACTGCTAGCTAAACAAAATTTCGAATTTCTTGTGTTTTGATTTAAAAAATAGCCTATTATGTCACAAATTTTGTTGAAGTTATGATTAATTGGTAACAGAACTTCGTGTCGTCCAATTCGGTCGGTAATCATACTCGTGATTAAACAAATCGGACTCCCGCTACGCGGTCGTCCGATTTTGTTAATCACTCGTATGATTACAGACCGAATTGGACTCCACTCAGTCCTGTTACCATTACAGGGGCACCCAACGACAATTTTCGGAAAATTATCTGTTCGGAAGACGATTTGAGGTCTAGGATTTTCGGATCATTTTCTGACAAATTTCTTGCTTGCCTGCCTCTCCTAGGATTTTCGAACTTCAAAAAAATCGTATAATTGCCCATTTTAAACGGATTTTTACCCTAGAAAGGTCACCTAGAATTTTCGGGAGCCTTTTTTCTGGCTGAAATTTTCGAAAAGGTAAATTTTGATCCCTATAATTTTCGGATCACTATACTTTCAGCTAGGAAATCCGAACAGATGAAAAATTTTTAGGGGATAAAAATAAGCCTTTATCTACCGTTTAAATACTAAAGTACGTTCAACAATGCTATGTTTATGTGGTTTTGAACTATACTCTCGTTGGGTGCCCCTGCCATTACTTATCAGCTTCAAGTGTTGAAGAGCCTCTTTTTAATTGCGCCCTTAGGGATACTTCAATAATAAGACGTTAGTTGTCATTTCTTTTTTCCTTCTCATATGAGAAATGGTCGCCTATCGTCTCAGACTCCACTGAAACAAAATTTTACAGGGGATAACCGGGATAAGTCTTCACATCGGTAATTAAATCATTATCTAATGGAGAACAAAGCACTGAACAGGGAGAACTGAATTAGCTCGTCCTTTAAACAGCTGACTAAGCATAGACCGACGAGTAAAACAAAGTTGTTCACTAAATCAATGGCTGAATTCAGCTTCAAAATACTTCAATTATTTGGCTTGCTCCTCGAGCAGGCCAGATGAAGCAAATGTTGCGTTCTGATTGGTCACCCGAACGGGCAAGATATCACCGCTCGGGATTTGCCGCCTTTTTCCGAAGGGAGATTTTCATTTGTTCGGTAAATTGGCCTTGTTCTTCTTTATTGTTTTTGCATTTTATGTACCAAAACTAGGTAAATAAAAACACAAAAAACGAACTTGGCCAATATCTAGTCTATATCTTTTACCCACATGGTTGGCTCACATTGTTTTGCGGCAATGATGGATTCTTAAAAAAACTATCAAACAAACTTTCTAGACCATGATCCTATTTTCTTTTTGATTACTGATAAGAATGTGTTCTGGTTCGGTTTTATTTTCTTAAAGGCTCGCGAAATTTCTACTTTAATTACGTTTTTCAGTGGCTTTTGAGATTCAAAAAAGGCTCTGTAATTTGCATGTAGGTGAGACGAGACAAGTTAATCCGGCTATGATTATGTGATATTATCAATTGTCTGTTTTAAGATTGAGGTTGTCCAAAGTAAACTGCTTTTATCCAGTACAAGAAAACGTTTCGCTAATGAATGTAAAATAAACCTAAGTCTCTTGTTGTTGAATGTTGAAAGTAGTTGCCAAGTGATAAATAGGTCTGTGGTTGATTTTACGGTGCAAATTTGTGGTTGTAGTGTCCGCCTGTAGAGGTGATATTAAGTCTCAGCGCTGGCGATTAACAGACAAGGAAGTGAAATTTGAGCAAATCAGTCACCCATGCTCAACTTCCGCCGTTTGGGTTTTAGATTGTTGACCTTACTCCCATTTTCAATTTTATTTGTTCAGTGAAATCCGTGGTTGATAGCTGCGTTCGTTCAAATTTAGTAAATGGAGCTAAATGTTGCAGAAGTTGGCTCGTAAACTTAAGCCGTAAAAGAAGCCGCAAAAGAAGCCTAGTGGCTCGTGGAAGTCCGCCCTGACTGTTGAATGCATGCCTTCACTAACAATGCTAGATAGAAACGATGATCGCGGGGTCTTATTTTGTGTAATAAATATATTAAGAATCCAGACTGAGCTTTACCGGTACAAGATCGACAGTGAGCAGCTTCAATGATTTGCAATTGCTCCCTTTCGTCCTTTTTACTGGACCGAGTTAGGACTTTGAAATTTAGAGTCTATTTAGGTCACGTAGGAGGGCTAAGTATGTAACGCTCAATCTCTTCGTCAAATTAGATCTGAAACATCTACAAGTCCTTAGAGTATAAAGAGCAAAAGGCCTGATCTCTTCCTCACGTCATTCTTCATTCTTAGCCGAGTCTCTCAATTTACTTTGCCATTAATTTTTATTACAAAGTAATAGGTTTTTATGCTTTGAGAGCCTTCTCTAACATCCATTTTTCAAAATATAAGTAATTATGTAATTTGAGTTTCTTGTTTGCTTTTTAAGGTTCCACTCAAAAGTACTTTTAACGAATTAATCTTGAAGTTTCAATTACTGTAAGGCTGGTAGAACTATAGCCGTTTCAAAACCACCTCAGTCAAAGCCCTTTTAGTTATACTCTGTCAAAAGGGACTGCTCAAATGTATGTGGAAAGTTTGTGACAAACTGTTTTGTTTATAATTCAAAGCGGAACTATGGACTGAACTTCAATGCCGGCCAATACATTATCACCTGTTTCATTATACTATACCGTATTCCCATCAGGATACCAGAGAAATCACAGATTCGTTACGTGGTGCCTGTCCGGTATTGGCCTCTCTTAATTTTAAGATTAATTTTAATTCAGCTGTTTAACAGTTATCACAAAATTATAATTTGCTCTTTTCATTTTTAAATCCGTTAATGCGTTTTGACAGTCAATTGTTCTAATTATGAATATTTATGCGCACTTTAGAACTTGGGTTAACCCTTTGTTCACAAATCACGTCTCTTTCACTATGAACATCCATTTGGCAATTTCTTTTTATAGATGAAACAATTTGCGTGGATGTAAATATTGAATTACAAATCCAATAACAATGTTTGCTGCAATAAAAAAGCTGCTAAATAAAATTCAATGATAATGCCATAGGAACAGGCGCCTAAACACTGAGACACACTCGCTTTCTATGTCAATGTGATATTGTAAATTAAGAACTTCCGTTGCTTCAAACCAGCTTTATCATTCTACAGTAAGATTTCTCGGCTGAGTAACACGTTGCCGACAAAAATTATTACCTTCGAAACTAGAAAGCTTTCCTGAATACAAAAGCAGCGGATAAAATTTTCGATACCTGTTGCGTGTTGTGATTTGCCACACGCAACACTAAATGACCTAAATCTCTGGGGCAAGTTGACGGTTCAGTGATTGACATTCAAGTGCCTTAAAACTGAAACGCGTTTATTAAGTTAACCGTGAAATCCAGTGTTTGTTCAGAATCGGCAAACGTAAGCTGCTGCTGTCTCGTCACCTCCAACAAAGTTATATGAAGTTCACAACAATAACATGGCTATTCCAAGGGAGCAAGGAACACCACCCAAGTGTGATAGTTTAATAAGAACTCGACGATTGAACCAGACTCAATCTTTCCTTCTTGAACAAAGACTTAAGGTGTTGGATTGTAAAAAGAGTCAGAAGAATGCGGAGTTTCACGTTGAGAAACATTCTCTTCGAAAGCAGATGGAAGAGATCAAGTCCGTACGAAAAAACTTGGGAATCAGTGTTGAGAGAAGGAAACTTCTCCGCTCTCAAGGATACACAATAGATACACGTTCGACTAACAACGATAACGCAGTTGTTATCAAGAAATATTCCATGCCTGAGTTGACTAACCAGAGAACTTCAAATAGACAAAACCACATCCTGAACAACGGAGAAATAGTCAAAGGACTAACACAGTTTAAATTACAAGAGACAGGAGAAATGGAGACAGGAAACGGTTGTGAAGAACCCCCGAAAACGGATCTTGCTCGGTCCCGCGCAAGACACCAGTTTAGGATTATTGAACCACCGAGCCGCCCGGGATCACGACGCAATTTTGTTCAACTTTCCAATGATAAACTAAAGGAATTAAAGAAGAAAGAAGACGAAGAATCAGGAGAAACTTTACTTGATTCTAATATAAAGTTAGATTATCGGGGTAAGATCTTGTCGCCACGGCTTGTAAAATCTTTGATGAATAACTCACAGTTTGATATAGATCAAGGAGAAGAACATTTTGAATCATGTGAGTCATGTGATGGATCTATTTCGCAGAAAAAGAAAAATATTATAAAGGAGATTTCTGAGTTAAGACCTTCAAGTGCGCCCCAGCTAATCCCGCTCTGTTCAGAAGAAAACCAGG